ACTAGAACGAGCAACGAGAGTTTGTTTCTTGCTACGCCAGGCAATAAGAGAGTTGCCCAAGAAGAAGCAGAACCCAGTAATAGAATGACGGTCAATAGGATCCCCTACCCAATCTGCATCAGAAAAGGCATGGAGCTGTAGAGAAGACTGGGCGGAGTAGTGAAGAACATGAAACAGAGTGCCTTTGAGATAGCGCAAAATGCGAATCAGAGCATTATAGTGTGGAGAGCAGGGGGCAGCCATGAATTGATTGACAATGTGAACAGCATAAGCAATATCTGGACGAGTAACCGTGAGATAGACAAGACTGCCAACTAGCTGACGATATAAAGTGACTTTAGACAATAGGGAACCTTCAAGAGGTGTAAGACGAGTCTGAGGATCAATGGGAGTAGTGGCAGTCTTGCAATCAGTAAGGCCAGCACGAGCCAAGAGATGAAAAGTATACTTGGCTTGGGTAAGAAAGTAACCAGATGAATCTTGAGAAATTTCCAAGCCAAGGAAGTAGCTCAGCAAACCCAAATCTTTCATCTCAAACTGGGGACGGAGAAATTGTTAAAGACTAGAAATACCCGCGGGGTCATCTCCAGTAATAATCATATCATCCATATAGAGGAGAAGAAGAATAGTATCACACTCCGTCTTAAGTATAAACAAGGCAGAATCATGGGCATTGGAGGAAAAGTCAAAGTCACGAATGGTAGAGCTAAACTTGGCAAACCAGGCACATGAAGCTTGTTTCAAACCATACAAAGCACAACAAAGTTTGCAGACTTTGTTTGATGGAACAGAAGAACCAGGAGGAGGTTACATATAAACTTCCTCAGTGAGATCACCATTGAGGAATGCATTCTTGACATCCATCTGATAAAGACTCCAGTGGCGAGCAGCAGCCACTGCAAGTAAGCTGCGAATGGAAGTAAGACGAGCAACAGGAGCCAATGTTTCTTCATAGTTAATGCCATACTCTTGAGTAAGCCCTCGGGCGACAAGGCGAGATTTGTGACGCTCAATGGAACCGTTAGAATGAGTTTTGAGCTTGTAAACCTATTTGCAACTAACAGTATTCTTGCCAGTAGAAAGATCAACCACATTCCAGGTATGAGTTTTATTTAAAGCCTGCAATTCATCAGTCATAACTTGTTGCCAAAGAGGGTTAGAACAAGCTTCTTGATAGGAAATAGGTTCATGAGAGGAAAAGGCAGTGAAACCAACAATATAATCACGGAGAAGAGCAGAAGGTTGCCTTACTCGTGTGGAATGACGCTCTAGCAAAAGAGGAACCTCAACAATAGAAGGTGTAGGGCCATCAGCAGACACAGGATCCTCAAGATGGACATTAGGCGTAGGCGGCTGTGGAATCATGGAGTCAGAATCTGCATCAAAGTTATCATAAAACAGGTCTATAGAGGGATCAGTAAAGATCGGTGAGTGGGTGGACTGTGGTAGGTGAAACTTGGAACGATTTGAGAACATTTTGTGTTCCTAGAAGACCACATAATGGGAAATACGAAGTCGCTTAGATATAGGATCCCAATAACTATACCCTTTATGTTCTATACCATTCCTCATAAACAACAAAGACAAGAGCGAGGTTCTAGTTTAGTGTGTTCATGAGATTGAAGTAGAACAAAACAAGCAGAACCAAAAACTTTAAGAGTGGTGTAATCAGGAGGAGAACCATACAAGTACTCGTAAGGGGAAGTATTACCTATGATAGGTGTAGGTACACGATTTATGGTGTGGATGGCAGTGAGGGCAGCTTTCCCCAAAACTGATCAGGACAAGAAGATGAGATGAGAAGAGCCCGGGTAGTGTCTAGAATATGGCGGTGCTTCCTTTCGGCTCGTCCATTTTGTTGGGACGTGCCTGCACAAGATCGATGAGATAGGGTACCATTAGCCTGAAGAAAGAAAGAAATTTAGAATCAAGTACTCTTTAGCATTATCAGAACGAAAGATTTTAATAGTACGAGAAAACTGAATGCGGATCATGGCAGAGAAATCATAATAAATCTATTTTAAGTTCAGATCGATTTTTGAGAAGAAAAAACCAAGTATAACAAGAAAAATCATTAACAAAAATCATAAAATATCTTGACCCCCCATGGTTAGTGTGGGGGAAGGTTCCCAAATATTTGAATGCACAAGATCAAAAGAAGCAGTAGACATAGAACTATTGTTATTAAAAGATAAAGCAGGTTGTTTAGCAATTTGACAAGATAAACAATCGACATCTTCAAGACGGACACGACCTAATTGACCACTAGAAACTAAAGTTTTCAAACGACTAAAAGAGACATGCCCTAAGCGACAATGCCAAAGGTGAAAAGAAGACATGGCAGAAGTAGATGCAACAGAGGAAGCAATGGGAGCAGCAGTTGATGATGTGTGGAGAGCAGTAGTAGATGATTTGTGCGGAATGCGAAGATGGGTAAGCTTGAACAGACGTCCATGCTTATAGCCTATCCCAAGAATCTGTCTCGTCTGAGGGTCCTGCACCAAACAACCATTAGCAGAAAAGGTAACGGTTTGACCAAGTTCACATAACTGACCAACGCAGATAAGGTTCAATTGAAGAGCAAGAATATGGTAAGCAATGTGATGAGCATCAGAAAGAGACACAGTGGAAGTAGAAATTTGACTAATGTGACGAACAATCATATGAGAACCATCATCAGTGTGTATGATAGAGGCAGAAAATGATGATGATGATGATGATGATGATATAAAAGAAAACATAGTGGAGTCAGAAGTCATATGATTACAGCATGTGGAATCAAAATACCATGGAGAATTACCTAAAGTCACTGAAAGAGCAGTAGAGGGAGGAGTACTGGATTTGGCAAGCACCTGTTGGATGATGGACTCAACATCATCCATAGAGAAGGAAGAAGTAGTGGAATTAGTGGAGTGGTGAGTAGAAAACCTTCAGAGGCAACAGCAGCAGAACGAGAACCTTGGCCAGATTTGGACTGATACCTAGAACGAGAAGACCCTTTCCAGGATGAAGTATTGGAGGGGGCTGGAGAAAAATTGCGTTAGAGATGACTGGGAGCAATCTTGTGGCAAGTAAAGCATTCGCAAACATGGCACTGAACAAAAGAATGAGTGGCTGGCAGCCATGGTTGTGACAATACTGGCATGAACTAGCGGGTTATGGAGATAAGGAACTCTGTGATGATGGCGTAGCAAGAACAGAATCCATATTCTGAGATTTGAGAGTCCCAAAATGAGTCTCCTATGATAATAGTTCAGTAATGGCTTGCTCTGAAGTGGGCAAGGGCAAAAAATGAAGCAATGAAGCACGCACGAGGCTCAAAAGTGCTATGAAAAGCCATAAGGAACTGTAATAGTCGCTGATGATTCCGATAAGTAATAAACAGTTGTGCATCCTCAGAATATGCCCATGTAGGCTCAGAAAGAGCTAGCTGGTCCCAAACAGACGACATCTGGGATAAGAATTTACTGACAGACTGACCGGGTGCCTGGCGCATGTGATGAAGAGTCTGCAATAGTTGATATTGATGAGCATGAGCATGGCCAGTGGTTTGATAACAGTCTCTCAAGAAATCCCAAATTGCTTTAGCAGGGGAAGCAATTTGATCATTATCCTGGAACCAGCCAAACTGGAGATGAATGGAGGGAACTGAGGTAGCCTGGAACCATGTGATAATTTGATAATTCTTGCTTTCCCATTCATCAAGATGGTCATCGAATGCAGAGTTAGTCTCATCCTCCTTTTGGTTGGGTTTGGGAAGAGCACCAGTAATGATCCGCCAAAGTCATTTCCTTTTGATGAAGCTAGAGGGAGTTTGGGCCCAACTAACATAATTTGACCCATTAAGGATAACAAAAACTGAGTGGATGTGCTCGGTACAATCCATAATGCTCAAACAGGGCCAAAAAAAAAAGGAAGAAGGTGCTTTGTAGAGGTTGATTTGCCAAAACAGAACACACTAGCAGATTCAGAAGGTCAAAAACAGGTGGGATATGATCTGAACGGGCCAAAAACACGACCAGAAAGGCGGCAACTCGGCTAGTCAAAGTTGTTTGACCAACCAGGGGAACCAAAACTAGGGCTGACGTCATAGCAAGGGGAGCTAATGTCAGAAACGCGCCGCACACGTTAGTAAAGGTGCGCGCAGCGCACGATAGCAAGAAGGTAGCAGCGGCGCACTGTCAACCAGGGCTGATGTCAGAACACGCGGCTCACGTTAGCAGATGGGGCCGCGGTGCAAGATAGCACGAGACAGGAGCAGAGACGCGTGGAGGCGCGTAGGAAACGACACAGCGTGTGCCTGATCTTTTTGGCGATGCGTGGAGGCGCGTGTGGCTGCGGATGGAGATGATTCTGATGGCATTGGCTTCGTCTTGAAGAGACGAAAAAGCTAGTATAGTCCAATCGTCGAAATGGGGAAGGACCAGATATGCAAAAACCAACATGAGAAGGAATCAATCTGCCAGACAGGAAAGAAAGAAAAAGAAAAAAAACGTGATGAAGAAGAAGAGGAGGCTAAGAGAAAACCCTAGGCTCTGATACCATGTTAGAATAGTAGAGAGAGAGAATAATATGTATTGTATATAATCAATCAATCAATACAATAGGAGAAGCCTATATATATAGGCCAAGAAACCTAAGTGTACAAGAAACCTAGGTGTACAAGAATACAAGAATCCTAAGTATAATAGGAATAGGTAACAGCTAACACTTCTCATGATTGAAAATTTCATTTATTTAACAGCCTTTTATTCGTTTTGCAAAAATGCTTAAATTTAAATAGCTCCACATATTTTCAAACTCATTTTTATGTTGAGAAAGCTGGGAAATGTGGACTGAGTATGCACTAATCCTATGTTTAGTTTACACAAGCGACTTGCGTTCCTATGGTTGATTAGGCCATATGAATACATTCACATTGTGTCCTCTTTACATTTTCTTTATTTTTTAATTTAATTATTTGTAAATATTTTGATTCTTATTGATCATTTCCAGGTTATGCTGGATACTATGGGTCCAGCACTTCAGGTGTGCAATAAGACTGGGAATCCAATTGAGATGAAGGCTGACAATCGTGTGACAATTACTCCAGATACTACTATAGAACCATCAGCAGAGCTCTTACCTGTAAATTATACTGGGCTTGCCAAGGTAGGTTTTAAAATTCAGCTCTACAACACGGACACGGGACATGGTAATTTCAAAAAGAAAAATGGGGATGCGGATATGGGGAAATGGCAATAAAAGTTTTTAGCCATGCAATAGGTGTTGTGTCACTCATTCTTAAAAAAATGAATGGTTTGGATGAAATGTTATATAATGCCCTTCTCTTCTTTGAATTTATATCTTGCATCTGACATTTATTCTTCAATTGAATATCTACACCACTCTGTGTAAGAATTTATGTATTATTGATTAATGTATTGATATATTACAATGATTCCTATATATAGAAGAGAGGATGTGGGAAGAGAATAGGTGAGTGTGTAGTAGGTATGGAGTAGGTGAGGAGTAGGTGGAGAGTAGGTGAAGTAGGTGAGTGTGTAGTAGGTGGTAGTGGTAGGTGTGTAGTAGGTGAATTTTAACAGCCCCCCGCAAACTCAAGGGGGATAGGAACTAACCAACTTGAGTTTGGAGAGAGTAACAAAACAAGAAAATACATAAAAATAAAAGAGGATAGGAGACACTGTATGGTCGTGTCAGACCATTGGTGAAGACACTGGATAGTGGTGTCATAACGTTGTAGAGGACACTGTATGGGGGTGTCATAACGTTGTAGAGGACACTGTATGGTGGTGTCATAACGGTGTAGAAGACAGTTTATGGGGTCATGTCGGACCGTTGTAGCAGACATTGTTGTGACAGTTGTTGTGACAGTTTACGGAGTCTTATTAACCGGAATCAATGTCGGGACAGTTTACAGAGTCTTGTCGGACCCTTGGAAAAGCTAACCGGAATCAAATGTCGGGACAGTTTACAGAGTCTTGTCGGACCCATGAAGGAGCTAACCGGAATCAATGTCGGGACAGTTTACAGAGTCTTGTCGGACCCTTAAAAAGTCGCACCCTCAAAAGGTGTACCCAATCTTTCAAAAGGCGTGCCATCAAAAGGCGTGCCCAATCCATAAAAAGGCGTGCCATCAAAAGACGTGCCATCAAAAAGCGCGTCCAAGTTGTCGGCGAGCACCGAGAGGCGCATGATGCGCGTGTCTGCCTCTTCATCATGGTCTTTATAAACCGAAGCGGAGGCTGAGGCTGAGGCAGAGGCAAAAGCTGAGACAAAAAAACTGAGAGAAACCTCTGAAAAAAACTCTTCCTTTGCTGAGAAAGAAACTCTGTAATACGCTGTAACACTCTGTTGCCCAGAAAATGGCTTCGTCTTCCCGTGGGCTGCTCACTCTCTTTCCCGACCTCAATGAGTCAACAAGAGAGAGAACTGGTGCGGTGGCCAGTGAACCTCAACCAAACACCTCTGTGTTTGCTCCGTTGAACTTTCCGATGCGGTCGGTGGAGCAAAAAATGGCGGTGCAAACTGATATTAAGGCCAATCAGTATACTCTGAAGTCATGCGTGGAAACCATGACTGCGGTCACAAACTTGTCGCACCGGCTGCAGAGCAGGACAAATGAGGTGCAACAGTTAAACTCCCAGCTAGCTCTGCTCCAACGCATGTATAAGGATGCCCGAGCAGAGATAAGTGTGCTTAAGGCGGAAAATAAGGAGCTGAAGCGGAAGGCCACCGTGATGTTCCGATTTGGAGGTCCACCATATGCTGTAGTGGAGGAGCAGGGAGGAGGCAACGTGCTTGGTGGTCTAGGAAACACGGAGGCAACACCGTCAAGGGCCGTCCAAGACGGAAGCAAGAAGAAGAGACCGGCTGCAGAGTAGAGAAGAAAAATCCCACTGTGGGTGTGATTGTTTTGTTGTTGTTTTTTTTGTTTGTTTTGGGTTTGGTTTTTTTTTTTTTTTTTTCTGATGTAAAAGTGTGACCGGGGTTGATCCCCTGATATGAATAAAATGACAAGGTGGTGGAATGCTGTTGGTGTTTTTGGTTTTGTTTTGTTTTTTTTTTGTTTTTTGTTTTTTTTTTTGAAAAGTAAGGGAATCGAATAATAAAAAAAGTATGGAGATAGTGATGAAATGATAAGCATGGTGATGATGAATATATAATAATGAATAAAAATAGAGCACCAATTAAGTTTTAGAATAAAAAATAAAATTTGGGCGGTGGGACAAAAAAGATGGTTTAGAAAAAAGAAAAGAAGGGAGGTGGTGGAATTATGGACCAAAAAGTAGAATAAAAGAAAGTGCACATGGGTTGGTTCCAGAGTTATATTGGTCTCTTCAACCACTACCTCTGTCTCTTTGACCATACATTGATTCACAGGGTAGGAGCTCTTTCAGCAGATCCAGCAAGCATAGTGAGCAAGCTGTTTGCAGTATGGAACTCCACGAAGATCTTGTTGTTCTTCTTGGAGACGGTTCGGAGATCAGTGGTTCGGAGGACAGTAGCAGTGTTTTCCGAGAGGGAGCTCGAGAGTGGGTGTTGCGGAGGAGCAACAGAGCAATGTTTTCAGAGTGAGGAAGACGAAGAGTGAGGTTGACCATTTGGAGATCTTTGGTGCCGGAGATGGAAGAGAAGGTGTGGGGACGAGTTCGGATGTCGAAAATGTAGGGTCTCTGGAGCCATGGGACGAGGAAATGGGTTCCTTCGCCGACGGTCTCATCGATGACGCCGCGAAATCGATCGAAGAGGACGGCGCGTTGGCCACCGTCGACGGTGTAGAGGGAGGAGTTGAGGACGGTAGCGCCGAGACCGAGGCCGAACGCCGCCCGGGCTAGGTTGGCGAGGAAGGACATTGCTGCTTGGCTGCTACCCATCTATGGAGGAAATTGTAGAGAGAGAAAGGCCGTGGAGAGGAGAGAGAAAGAGCCAGCATCTTGTTTGTCTGTCGGTTTTCGCCAGAAGAGAGAGAGAATTAGAAAATTTGGGTTTGTCCGGCGGACGGCCAAGGCGAGGCTGCCGCCCGCCGGTGAAGCGGAATCACTAAGTTCTTAACCTTGCTCTGATACCATGTAAAAATTTATGTATTATTGATTAATGTATTGATATATTACAATGATTCCTATATATAGAAGAGAGGATGTGGGAAGAGAATAGGTGAGTGTGTAGTAGGTATGGAGTAGGTGAGGAGTAGGTGGAGAGTAGGTGAAGTAGGTGAAGTAGGTGAGTGTGTAGTAGGTGGTAGTGGTAGGTGTGTAGTAAGTGAATTTTAACACTCTGACATGAAAAAAGTTTGTAATATCTCGTCGATTTATATGCCATTTAATTTGTAACCTTTTCTCCCTTTGGATTCCAGACAGTAAAGAAGGGGGACACTATTTTTGTGGGGCAGTATCTCTTCACGGGAATTGAAACCACCTCTGTATGGCTGGAGGTGAGAACTACAGTTGATGCTTCTTCATGCTTACTTATTGAAAGTATGGATTTGGGCACTCAGTTTGATCTGATAGTTCTGTTGGACTATCATGCAGGTTTTGGAGATAAGGGGTCCAGATATCATTTGTCTAGTCAAAAACAGCGCATCCCTTGTAGGATCTGTTTTTACCATGCATGTTTCCCAAGTCCATATCGATTTGCCTACTTTAACAGACGTTGATAGACAGGTAATGCTGGTTTTACTAGAATCACCTTGTTTGATTCTAGGTCCTCTGCTCATGAGATGGTTTCTCGGCAATTGTTAACTATAGAAAATTATATAGCTATTAACAACTAATTCAGGCTTTATATTAGTATTTGAGTGACTAAACTTGTCTCCCCAATGATGTTCTAAATAATGAGGGAAATCAATCTGCAAAGAAAAATTTTCAGTCTTCAGTATCTGATAAAAGATTGGACACCAATAATACCACAAAAGGAGAACAGTTTTGATACTTGGGCTTTGATTCTTCATAGGAAATTATATAGCTATTAACAACTAATTCAGGCTGTATATTAGTATTGGAGTGACTAAACTTGTCTCCCCAATGATGTTCTAAATAATGAGGGAAATCAATCTGCAAAGAAAAAGTTTCATTGTTCAGTATCTGATACCAATAATACCACAAAAGGAGAACAGTTTTGATACTTGGGCTTTGATTCTTCTTAGGAACGTAGATTTCCTGTTAATAAAAAAAAAAAAAGTTGGATAAGTTTGCGGAGGAACACTTTTTCATATTGTCCATCAATGTACACTGTGAATCTAAAAGAAAATCTTATGGAACAGCTGTAAGACGAACCATATTCTATGAGATTAAATGCTGGGTAGCTAATTTTTATTTTTTCATAAAACAAACATGGCCTAAATTATGGTTTTAAATAACAATATTAACAGACGTGCATCGGTATCGATGATACGATCATATATCAGCCGATATCAGATAGTATTGACCGGTGAATCAATGAATAACGGTATCAGAAGGCCAAAATAGTGTTATGTAATGGTTGATACGATATGTTACGGCTGAAATTTAAAACCCTGCTAAATGCAGATATTGAGACTGATGTGTGATGAGAGAGAATAGGCTTCAGTCAGAATGTGACAGAAAAATGGGAAACTTCGAGATAAAATGATTTTTTTTTTAAATTTTTGATATGTAGAATGGTTTTGTCATGTGCAAATAACATGAATAATTGTAGCAATGAGGTGGACTCACTATACACATTGAGGGAAATGCTAAGGGAAATAGACAACTGAAATTGATATGAGTTGAGATAGGAAGGGAAACCATGATAGCATGTAGATCAATTGAATTTAAGCCCTTGATAAAGTTGAATGACAAATAAGATTCATGTAATCGATGCCAAATAATGTGACAAGGCTTTGTATTGCATTAAGTAAGTTTCTAGTCATCTTTTGGTCACTTGGAAAGCTTTTGACCTTATGTAATCATGGAGTGTAGAATTAATTGCAATTCACTTTGACTAGAGATGGTCCAAATTCAAGTTGGGTTTTGCCTTGAATATTTATTTGTTTTTTCTTGCTATGTATGTTGGATACTTGAAATATGTTGTTAATCAAGTTAATTATTTATTTATTTGTCACAAAAGTTTTTGAAAACTAGAAATAGGTTTATCTTTTAATCTGCAAACTGAAGCTAGAAGGAATTTTTTCTTCATTTTAGAGCTCCTAATTTCCAACTATTCTCCCTTCTCTGTCAATATCCTACCTGAAATGGCTAAAGAACTGGCAATTGTGTATGATAAAAATCTCTTAATCTCTTAAGAGAAAGATCTCTAACATGTTCATGCTGTACGGAAGCTTTTATTGGCTGTTAACTGCTAGATATTTGTGCGATAGTATGCTCTCTCTCTCTCTCACACTCATAAATTTGTAATCATCATAGGCTATATCAAATTGGGGGACTCGTAACAAAGTTGACTTCATTTCACTTGCATATACACGACATGTAGAAGATGTTCGAGAGGTCAGTTTATTTTTTATTGTCTTTATTGTTCTTGACATTATTCTTGTTTCTTAGGCTTTGGCATCATTTCTTCCCTTTAACAGGTCTGGTGATTTATGAAGTTTCTCCATGCTTTATACTTTAATGAGAAATAGTTTTACTTTTCTTCCTAAATTAAGATTATGCTTGTCTTATGTTATAGGCTTATAGTCTAAGAAGCATGGACACGGATACAACACACGAGTACGGACATGGGACATAGTGATTTTAAAAAATTAGGATACAACGGCAAGGATACAACAACAACAAAATATATATATATTTTTATATTTTTTCATTTGCTATGCATATGAATAAAGATTAGGCCAGAGAGATAAGAGAGACATAGATGTATATTTAGGTGTATTTAGATGCATATGTATTTTTGTTTTTGTTTTTGTTTTTTCCATATTTAGGTGTATTTTTGTTTTTTCCATATATTTCACTTTGGCCTCAAATCAGCTTTCTGAAATTATAAAAATAAATAAATAAACAAAAATCAACAAAGTTGTCTTGGGACATATCCAAACACAGGACATGTGTGTTAGTGAGGTGTCCCCAACTCGGTAGATCTAGCAATGCTTTCAGGTGAATTGGCTTCCAAATTAAGCCTGTCAAAAATAAGTCTGATGGCAGCACCTACTGAGGGAGGGCAATAGCTGTGCTGATTACACAGAACATGTTAGTCTGGCTTTGAGTGATACCTAATTTATCTCCATTTTCACCTTTGCTACTAAGAGTCTTTCCCAAGTGAGGGAGAGATCATCTTTGAAGTGGTTTTATTGTTTCAGTTCTACCCATATTTGTTTCATGGATTCGTCAGGTCAGCTACATATTTTGAGTGTCAAATTCTTCTAATCCCAAGTTTTAAGGGCACAAAAGTGTGGCTAAATTTTTAATTTTCTTTTCTTATTTAACATAGAGACTTAAAGTAAAATGAAGTGTGTGCATTTTAACTCATTGTGAAGCAACTATGTCAGGAAAATAAAATTATGAGAAGTTTTTCGTAACTTCTAATGCACTTGAATTATCCTTCGGTGTGCATCCAACTAGACATGTTGGATATGCATCCTGTTCCCTTAGCCGAATCTTGTGTCTAACACAAACATTTCATGCATTTATAAGAGTCATATATGATATAACAAAGACCCTTATGTTGTGTTTAGTTCATGAATTTGTGTAGGGATTTGGAAAGGGAAAGGGAAAACTAGGGAAAATGTGAATGAAATATAGCTACATTTCACACACTTTTTCCCTTTCCCTTTCCCTTTCCCTTTCCAAATCCCTACTGAAATCCATGAACCAAACACAGCTTTGCTGCCCGTTTGGATAGATGTGGATTTCAAATGACCTTATTCAAGGACAATAACTCAAATTTAGATATGATAGTTTTCTTTTGAATTTCAAGATTGAGTTAAATAACTTTATGATGATGGATTTGAAATAACTATATAAAACTAGTTACTTTTGGAATCATGTTACAAATTCTCTTTCTAGCTATAAGAATCCTACTAAAATGTGTCTTCTATCTCATCTTCTTCTCTTTCTAGCTATGAGGATCCTACTATAATATGTCTTCTATCTCAACTTATCTTCTTCCATTGTTTTTTCTATCCATTTAAGCTCAATTCTCTTGATTTGAAATACATCTATCCAAACGGACCCTTAATTTTTTCAATGGTTGAGTGGCCTTCCCTATTGAATCTGTAATAAAAATTGGTAAAAACTCTGCAGCAGGCACTTTTTAAGTGTATTGTAGTTCTATTTGCGCTACACTCTATATTCATTTAGGTGCAACTAGTGAACTAGTACTGGTGAATATCACATAGCAATTGGCATACTACAAATATGAGATCATGATACTTTATCTTCCTACGTTGAGACATCTACTGAAGCAAGCACTTCTTCTGCTAGGTCCCTGTAACTTGTCAAGTCAAATATTTATTAATACCTGATTGAGGATGTGCTCATTTCTGTTGGAGCTAGCAATATTCATAGAAACTGCCATGTTTTTGAGTTTTCAAACCATGCCAATGTTGTTCTGTTAATTAGATGTATATCTAGAGCTAATTTCCCATTTTCTATTTTCAACAGCTCAGAGCTTTCATTAAAGCTCATAATCTTCATGAAACTCAGATATTTGCCAAAATTGAGACAGTGGAGGTAAGCTAGGCATTGACATTATAATTGAATTCCTGAAGGAAATGATATGTTCTATTTTGCTGTTATATAATTGCAACTTAGTGCGTTAATGTTGGATGGATAAACTGATTGCATGTACATTGCTCTATATTTTGCCAGGGATTGAGACATTTTGATGAGATCCTTCAGGAAGCAGATGGTGTTATCCTCTCTCGAGGGAATTTAGGAATTGACTTAGCCCCTGAAAAGGTGTGTATAGATGGAACCATCACCATTAACCTTAGACAGATCTTACCTTTCTCTAAAAATTTAATTTCTTTATTAATGATTTCTTAGTATTTTGTTCAATAACAAGTGATAAGTTCTATTATGTATGAAAAAAGCAATAGAACATGAAAATTTATTTGGATGGGCATCCTCCACCAAAGGTTGGAGGGAAAACTAAAACAATTAAGTGATACAAGTTTGTAAAACTGTGGCTCAACCTTTTGTTTTTCAGCTTGGATGCCAACTGCTTGAACTTTTTAGATTCAAGATCAATTTGCAATCTTCTTTGTTAGTATCAACCAACTTTTGTAGCCATTGCCGTTGAATTGCTCCAAATCTGGTTTTTTCTTCAGTTTGATTCAATAATTGGCTTCTCTTAAACAGATGGAGATCTTGGGAAACATCTTTGCTTGACTTTTTTTTATTTTATCAAACTCAGGAGCTGTAGATTCTTAACAAGTTTAGGGTTCTATTAGTGATTCATCTTTCTTGGGCAGCTGTTGGATTGCAGGCTTGTAGTTTTCATTTGTACAGCTAGAGGCCTATAACCAAATTTGTGGGTTTTCTTTTAAATTTGTTTGGATTTATACATTCTGGTTCAGATTATGGAGATTTTTTTATTCTTAGAATTGAGTTCATGTAATGCAAAATAAGCTTTGACTTAACAATTCTAGTCATTTTCCTAGGACAACATAACAAGAACATGAAATTATTAGCTTGTTCTTATTAATCACGACTTTGTTTGCTTGTGTTAGAATGATCAATTAAATCTTAAAGCAGATGTCTTAGTTGTTGGCCATGTTGGATAGCTCGATATAAATTGTTGGGTTCATTTCCTAATAGTGGCCAACCCCATTTGATCGGACTTAAGACTTGGTTTGGTTTGGTTCATTTCCTAATAGCTTAAGCTTTTCAGACTATTGGTTATCTAACACGGAATCAAAGCTCAGGTTGAAAAGTTCTTGGGTTCAGGTCTCTCTGTCTGCATATGTTCCCCATTTGCATTTTGTTCCTCTATCTTTGGATGATTGCACCACCGCATGCAAGAGAGGGTGTTGGAGAGTTCAATACACATTATTGGGCACTTGATGCATCCTATCATAAACTTTCTCTAAATCTATAAAAATCATATGAAGACTCCTCTACTCTTTGTACTTGTCCATTAATCTTCTTAGTAAATATATTGTTGTTGTAACTCTTGCTCTTAGGCGATGCTCCACTACTCTCTCACACAACTTCATTGTACGACTCGTCAACTTAATGCCTTTATAGTTGTTGCAATTTGGGATATCTTTACTACTTTTATATATAGATACTATAGTACTTTTTGTCCATTGCTTAGGCATTTTATGAAATAATTTTGTTAACCAACACATTCCCTCATTATGTAAGAATTTCCAAGCCTCAACAGGTTTACAATTTGGTCCTAATGACGTAACAAAATATTATAACATTCAGATATCTTGGTCTGTACAAAATCTTAGTGGTATGTCTCTATTGTAGGTTTTCTTGTTTCAGAAGTCTGCCATATATAGGTGTAACATGGTTGGAAAACCTGCCATAATTACTCGAGTGGTGGATAGTATGACTGCAAATCTACGGCCGACTCGTGCAGAAGCAACAGATGTTGCCAATGCTGTTCTTGATGGTTTGTAACTTCATGCAGTCGAGCATTATTTTCTAGTTTGCTTAAACCTGCAGATTAAATTTTCTTTATTTTTCTTGTGTATATATTCTGTAAGGAACCGATGGTATATTACTGGGACCAGAAACACTTCGGGGCCTATATCCGATTGAGGCAATAAGAACTGTGGGGAGAATATGTGCAGAAGTAAGTATTTATGTTCCTTGGTTTGTTTGTTTAAATAATTGGAAAACATTCTCAGAAATTTACACTGATGGAGATGACATAGCAGCTCAAACACAAAAAAAACCAGTCAATATATGTTCTATAAGATTACAGAACATGAACAGATGATCTTAACATATGAAATAGATTGTAAATCATTCATCGAAAATACTTTCAAAAATTTGCACTGATGTGGATGACATAATAGGGGTGCATGCACCAGTCAATATAGTTGTTATAGGAGATAGGATTACAGAAACAGACAATGAGGAATTTGCACTATATTTAATTGAACATTGCATCTCATTTGAGCTTTGCATCCAACTATGCATTTTCATAAGTGCACATTCATTTGTTGGCATATTACTTAGTCTGAAGAAGAAGTTAAGCCTGCTCTAGAAGGAACGCTCCAATTCTTCGTCAAAATTCTCTGAAGCTTGGAGATATATGGTTTTATATGAAAGGAGATTACTGAAGAAATGAAATCTTCAAGGACTACAATCTGAACATTGCATTTATAGAGACTTTAAAATCAGATCTTAACATGTCAAGTTTGAAAACTCACCCTGGCCAACTCAAGTTTGAAAACTCACATGTCAAGTTGGGTAGGTTACTGGGTTTAAACTGCCAAAAGTTGCATCTTTTATTGGAGCAAATTCATTGGTGCATACTGATCTGAAATCTCTCTCTTGCACATTTGAAGTAAATTTTCATCTGCTTGTATGAAGATCATAGATTGCAGTTCTAATTTCTTGACATTTATCTAAGTAAGCAACTTCTTGACATGATAGTCAATGCCCTGTTGCTGTAAGCACCACCAAATATAACAAAATCTGTAATCTGATTTACATTTGAGGTCTGTATGTTTTCACCATGTAACCCAATAATAATACTAATAATAACAATAATAATTGTTTTTTCACTGCAACTTTTTGTAGGCTGAAGGTGTTTATAATCTGCCTCTTCATTTCAAAAGAATCGTTAAACATGTTGGAGAGCCAATGTCTCATGCAGAATCTGTTGCATCATCAGCGGTAACTGTGATTATGATCTTGTAGTATAAATGGTTATATCTCTATGATTCAGATCAAACAACAAGCTACTTGAGTTCTTTCTCATTTTGAAGGTGCGGGCTGCTATTACAGTTAAGGCTTCCATGATTGTTGTGTTCACGTCATCGGGTAGAGCAGCAAGGTGCTCCTTTACAATCAATAAAGCAGACAAAAAATACAAACCTCAAAACTTTTGGCATTTTTGGCTAAACATGATTTGTGCTGACAGGTTGATTGCAAAGTATAGGCCATTGGTGCCAGTGTTTGCTGTTGTCATCCCTCGTCTCAAGACAAATTCATTGAAATGGACTTTCACTGGTTCATCACAGGTAATACACGTTCACAGCTACAGTTCTCCACACTTTAAGTTTTGTGCTATAAGAACCACCAGAAATCATGTAGGCTGTGTATGGATCATGGATTTGGGTAGGATTTTGGAAAGTGAAATGAAAGGTGAGGGATATGGTGAAAAAATTTATCTTATATTTAATTCATTTTTCCCCCACCTTTTCCTTTCCCTTTCTGTTTCTAAATCTCTACCCAAATCCATGTTCTAGACACAACCTTCGTTGATAGGAGCACTCAACATCCCTAACTTTATGATCTTTAACAATTATTTGTCCCCATGTTGCAGGCTAGGCAGTTGCTTGGTGTGAGAGGGGTCTATCCTATTTTGGCCAGCCCTAATGTGGTAAAGTTTATGTTGCCTTCTTTCTATAAAAAAAAAATCAATTTTAACAGTAAAATTTTCTCATCAATGCAGAATCAAACATTTAGGTTTTGGTTGGAAGGAGTTTGAGGTTGGATTTTATGAAAATGTATGTAAATAAGCTATTATAAGTGGATTGAGAAACTAGAGGGGAAGATAAATTGAAGATAGAAGAGAATTATTTAATTGTGATCCTTGCAGCACTAGAACCCTTAGCATGAAGGAATTCAAATAACTACTAATATAGAAAATGACAAAACTTTCAAATTCAATCTCGAAATCCCTATCTAAATGAAATCCCTATCTAAACAATCTGGTCTAAATTTGAGCTATTCTCCTTGAATGAATACTGCCAAATCCTTTAATTTCAAATTCAAAAATCTGAACACAACTTTGCTGTATGTAGCTCTGGTTGCAAGATTCTTGGTATGATCTCTTCTTGTGTAGTTTGCAGCCAATAATATAAGTATATGAAAAGCTTTTTCCCAAGTCATGTCTAAATAACCAAAAGTAACTCACATTATTTAGCAGTAATGCTGTGTTTGGTTGGGGGATTTGAGGAGGGATTGGAAAGGAAAATAGAAAAGGTAGGTGAAATATGAATAAAACATACCTATATTTAACCTAGTTTCACACACCTTTTCTCTTTCCCATTCCAAATCCCTCTCAAAATCCCCCAACCAAACACAGCGTAAAGGTGCTAAATTTTTGAAGTTAGAACTAAAGGAGTGCATTAGTTTTATGCTTGTTTATATGCTAATCTCTAGGCATTTGCACAGGTGTTTGACCCAAACAGAAGTATTGACTGTTACTGTATTTGAGTATTGATGCCACAGATGCTAGATTTCCATAAGAATAAGCATGGAGTTTGGTTCCCTCCATGAATTTGTACTATTGTTATGTGGATTGGGATCTAAATATGTAGTTGCAATGCATTTATAAAATAAGTGATGAATTTGGTCCCTTTATTACATTCCCTCGTGCTAGGTGAAATGGCATTTTCCTAAATTTAAATTGCCAATTAAAAACTTTACAAATTAGAGACTTATTTTTCCCTTATATTTTGTTTAAGACTGCATTTGCAGCTTGCAAAGGACTAATGTTCAGCTTTCATACTTATTTTTCATTTTCAATTAATTTATTTTCAGATGCCTGCTGAATTCTTACTTCAGTGTACTGTTATTTATTATCTATCTATAATTGCAGGCTACATCGGGTGGTTCTAGTGAAGAATCTGGATTGAAACTTGCCCTTGATCATGGTAAATCTGTGGGGTTACTGAAACCTAATGACCAGGTGGTTGTCTTCCAAAAGATAGGGGATTCATCAGTTGTCAAGATTGTTGCACTTGAAGATCAGCACTACATTTAATCCTAACCGCCATGTCCTTTTTCTTTAACCACCCTTTCAATTTTTTCCCCACTAGAAATGCAAAAATTTGTACTAACAACACTATCTCAAGCAATCAATAAGTACTACTCATTTCCTTTTTTTTCTTCAATCAAAATGATAGGAGAAGGTGACTAGCATGTGACAACCCTCTTTAGAAGTGGTAGGAGTCCTTAGTTTGTAGAAGTCATACAAAAAGGGTTTAAACCAACTCTATAATCCGATGACATAGGGATCTGCACACGCTCTCAAGCTGGACTTAAATCGTAATTTGAACTAATTCCCCAAAAATACGATAGTAGCAAGACTTGGGTGGCCCAATTTTAGTAGAAAACAGATCGTCTCTCCCAACCTAAGTAGTACTAAGAAACTGAAGCCCGTGTTCTGTAGCCACCAAAACACCAAAGAATAACGTTCCACCACGGGCCTTCTTGCTTCTTGCATTAATCCATACGCATTGGTAGAAATTTGGACTCTTGGTTGTAAGCTATGAATGTGCCACTTTTGCTATGGACTCCCCAATTACTATTTACACTAAATAGCCATTTTCAAAATCTAATTTCGCACCAAAAATAAATAAATTTTGATGACGAAGTATGTTTTCAAAAAAAAAAATTATTACTTTTTATTTTGGAAAACTAAATTTGAGTATGTAATCAATTCTATTTGGTTGGAAAAAAAAAAAAGGAAAAAATTGCATTAAAATGAAAAGAACAAGAAACTAAAATTGCATTAAAATGAAAAGAACAATAAATATTGCAATTTAGTGGGAGCATCTAAAAAATTACAACACAAATGAAGCTTTAAAAATTTGCAAAGACATGGAGACATTTATAAAATTATCAAAATAATCTGGTTTCTTCCCTTTTCTCTCTTCTCTCCCCCCAAATCCCTAACTTGCTAATTAGAGGTGTGTGCGGTGCAGTTCAGGTGGTTTACGAATAAAATTATAAACCGAATGGCACATTAGCAAATTAACAAATTGCGGTTTGAATGGTTTTGAGTGGATTGGCAAATAGAAAAACATTCTAACCAATTATCAAGCCTTTGTATAATATATAACACTAATTTACATAATATTTTTCATATATCTATATCACAAACTAATTTTACATAATATTTTCATATATATAACTACTAATTTGTAATAAATTTCATATCTTAAAATTTTCCTCACTCATTTTTATTTTGATATTTCATTATAGGTTAAAAAATATATGTGTATTAACTATAGCAAAGTGGAGTGGTTTTGAAGGCAGATTATAAATTTTAAAGTTTAAACCGCGATTAATTGATAGAGCAGTGCGGATTGATGCGAATCAATGCGATTTTAGTAGATTGGGCCGTATTTTTCACAACCTTACCACTAATGGCCCTCTTATACCGTTTCTGGTGCTAACAACCCCTTCCCTACCTCTAGGGGTGTAAATTTGGTCCAGCCCAGACCGGTCCACTCAGGCCTGGGCTCAAGCCAGCCCATGTCGGGGCTCGCGGGCTCTCACCAAAATTCTGGCCGGCCCTAAATTAGGCCCAGGCCTAGGCCTAGGAGGTATTCGAGCCTTGAGCGAACCGATCGGTGAACCTGGGCCTAGGTTCGAGCTTGAACATTTTTTTCTATTTTTTCCACCAAAATTTTATTTTTTTCACAAAAAAATGACACTGGGCCTTGAGCGGGCTAGGTTTTAAGTAGGCCGATGGGTCTATCCCACAGGCTGAACCAGGTTTCAAAATGATGGCCCAGACCTAGGCCCATGCCTAATTAGCCCCGGCCCATCTCGGACCGTGGATGGGCTTCAGGCCGCCCATGGGCCGTGGGTCATTTTTACAGGCAACCTTCTATATTACCACCAACCCCTTTCCTTATTATTGTTCGCTCTACCTGCCTTTCTCTTAATGTGATTTGCTTTCTCCACTCTACACAACCTCTTCTCAACGCTTCTTTTGCCTCTTAACACCTCGTATCCCCCATCCATCTCGCCTCACCTCCTGCACCCTACAACCCCTTAACCAACCGATTTCACAATCTATCATGATCTAGAGAAGAGATAGGTGATCTAGAGAGGAGAAGGGTCATCGCAATCTCGCAATTTGTCACTGTTTGGAGAGGCATCGAAGAGGGTAAGTGAGGGCTTGACTAGTGGTTGAGAACTAGATCTAATCCGAGTCTCCCTATCTCTTCTCTCCTTCATTTTTCTCTTTCTTTTCTATCTATTTTAGGTTTTGTTTTAAAGCTTTGTTTGAGACAACAATTGTTGCTAGTGTTTAATCTATGAAAAGAATGTAGAAAATGCAAGAATGTGAAGTGGCCAAAAGACGGGAAGGCGATGGCAAACATAGGTGGAAAGGGGTGGTTGGAGTGTATAAAGGGTTGGGAAGGAAGTCATAATACAGGAAATGTGAGGGAGTCTAGGGGTGGCTGGCAATAAAAGAAGTGGTGGTATTTCAAACTACTATTACCAACAATCTCTTCTCATCGAATCAAGATCCCCTCATTGCATTTCCTCCTTGCATTTCCTACTTGCTAGGCCATTTGGCCTAATTTTGATAATCCGAACCGTTCATATTTTAAAATTTATTCAATATATCATCCCTATAAAAAAACAAGTTGATTGGATATCAGAAAGCATGTGTTCGGAAAAATCGAACTAAAAACTATTTTTTTAAAGAATTTAATAAACAACTTTCCGAACACATGCTTTCTGATATCCGATCAACTTGATTTTTTACAAGTATGATATACTGAACAAATCTTAAAATACGAACGGTTTGGATTATCAAAATTGAGCCTAAAAGTGGGCCCAATAGCCCAGCAAGTAGGAAATGCAAGGAGGGGATCTTGATTCTTTATCATCACCCTCGTCTCTCTTGCGAATTAGGATCCCCTCATTGCATTTCATACTTGCAAGCCCATTGGGCCCACTTTTAGGTCCAATTTTGATAATCTGAACCGTTCATATTTTAAGATTTGTTCAGTATATCATACCTGTAAAAAATCAAGTTGTTCAGATATCAGAAAGCATGTGTTCGGAAAACTCGAATTAAAAACTATTTTTTTAAAGAATTTAATAAACAGTTTTTCGAACACATGCTTTCTGATATTCGATCAACTTGATTTTTTACAGGTATGATATACTGAACAAATCTTAAAATATGAATGGTTCGGATCCTCAAAATTGGGCGTAAAAGTGGGCCCAATGGGCTTGCAAGTAGGAAATACAAGGTGGAAATGCAAGGAGGGGATCCTGATTCCTCTCTTGCCACCTCCATCCAGTCACTTTAAATTACATTTCCAAATATTGTAGGATCACACAAAAAAAGGGCATGTGCACCTTGTTAGTAAAGATTTTTCTCTCTTAGAACATCCACATATGCAGTGTGTTTGTAGTGTCAATTGCTAAGGCATAACTACAAACTTTTTCAAGTGTAACTAAAATAATAATCACAAATGTTATTATTAATAATTTTTTTAAGTTACAATTGAGTGATAACTAATACCAAAATGTGTTATAACCAATTACCACTAAAATCATAATCAATAATGTCGTTAATGATAACCAAAATAAACTAAATCATAAGTCATAACAAACAAGTCATAATCCTAGGTATATGATCAAATGCATTATATACCACATTCAATGTACCACTTTATTTGTTAACATATTATTAGAGATAAACATGAGTGGTGGAACCCATTACACTAATAGTATTATCATATGAAGTGGTATATACAGATAGTAAGTGTAGTATTATTGATTATATAATATCACAGTCTCTCTCTCTCTCCTTCCCTTTTCTACACCCATAAAAACCACTATAGCTCCATTTTCCCTTCTGTCACGAACCCATCATTGGGGATGGGCAACGGTTTATCAGATCCGTAAAAACCGCAATAGGCAGTTTCGCAAATACAATGCGGGCAAATGCGATTTGGAATATGACATGTTTGCGGGTTGCAGGTTTAACCCGCACTCGCAAGAACCCGTGCTGTAATTTTTTTATTTTTTATTATTTTTTATCTTAACCGTTGATTTCATTCCTACATCTCACCTATATATTTTTGCCCAAAACAAAATACCCTTTATTCTTTGAACTTACTCTAGCATTACATTTGCGAATAATATTATATTAACTGACACTGAATAAATACTGATCATATTATTATTGTTACATAACTAAACTTGTCCCGGATGAAGTGTGATTTGAAATTTTAAATTTCTTAATGAATATGAAGTTCTAGTTTAGGATTTTGAAATATGTGCTTGTGTTAGTTTATAATTTGATTTAAGATTTGGAATGATTTATTTGTGTTACGAATTGATTTTGTTGTGTTTTCAATTTTATAAGTTTTAATTCATTAATTATTAACATTGGAGCATTTTAGAAAATTGGGAGAAAATGGCCCAAAATAAATATTTACAAAATGGGAAAAAAATAAGGCTCAAAAATAAATTTTTAAAGAAAAAAGTCCAATCCGCAAATCACCCGCAACCGCTTACACATCTGCGAACCCTATCGGCACAAACCGCAAACCGCACTGCGGGCGGTTGCGGGTTATCTTTTCTCCAAACCACATAGATAGGGATAGGTCCAAAACGATTCGCAAACAGTTCAAATCCGAACTGCGAACACCCCTAATCATTGGCAATCAATTTCTCTCCATAGACCATCACTAATGATTAATCGCTTTGTTCCACTGTCCATTGATAACTAGCCATCACTATTCTACCATTTTGAGCCTATGATCTCATCAATCTTTATAAAATTGATTCAACGAGAATACAATTTGTTATATGTAAATCCTTTGACATTAACAAATTCCTACAAATTGATATACATTTTCAAAAGAGTAAAATTCAATTTCTATAAAAACCCATGAATTCATGTTATTTTTAACCAAAAATCATTATATATCTATTTATATATAAGAAGCTCTTTTATTTGGTTGGCTTTAAATGCACCCCAAGAATTAGGTTGGATACCCTATTACTTTAGGCACACTGACAATAAATTTGAAATTTTATTTATTTGTTTGGATACCCAACTAATACCTATCCTAATCCTAAAACCCCTTAAACCTTGTACAAATCTACTTTGTGCACCCC